GCAATAATTGGTAATACCTTCAGAACATTATGAAGTATTACCTAGGAAAGCACATAAGACCTGAAAATCAGATGCAGCAGATGCTTGTATCACTGGTTTTATATGCTCAGTATCAGGCAATAGTTTCACTTGTAATATAATATGACCAGCCGAGTGTCTACAGCAGCATTTCGAAAGAAAGAACATGCTCTCATGGGTAATGAATGCAATAATGTCCATACTTTCCTTATCCTGCAAAACCTGATTATATGCAATTTAAAGATCCAGGGTAGAAAACAAATGAGTTTTCTGACTCCTCAAAATGCTTCCACAAAATATGGTGGTGATGCTAGCTTAAAGAGTTAATTGCTTTCGCTTTCAGGCTTCTGACACCTAGATTGTGGTCCCACCAGCTGAGTGTGCAGGGTGAAGCTGAGAGTGGCATTGTTATGTAAGTGACAGCATAGTTTGACATTGACCAGTATTTTGTCACAAGTTGGTGAGAAGAGCAGGGGTCACGCACCATCACACTGAGGTCTTCTACAGGCCTAAATCCCAAGGGGGGCTTGAGCCTTCTCTAGACAACTAAGTACTATTATGTGGTTCAGATAGCTCAACATACTCTTTTCCACTCCACAAGCAAACCACTGTGGGTCTCATGGAAGGTTTATGTCTTCTTCCTCCCAGGTGTTCACAATTTATTCTGTCTGCCACAAGGAAAGAAGGCATAGATTTAAAATCCTATAACAACTCAATCACGCTGTGTATAGGACATGGTTATGTCTAAGAAAAAACGCATTTACGATTAGTTTGCTAGGCAATCCAATGTTTTCTGCAAAATTCAATAATCAGTTAGCTTTCTTGTGGTGGGCTAAATGTAACCTTACAAAAAGGTGTAATCTCTCCTCCTCAATACTTGGAAAAAAAAAGCATCCAACCTTGAAAACATTATTGATATCTTCAACTCAAACATTTTCTTTCTTCTCTTGATGTCCCACCTGAAACATCTATAAATTCTACTTAATTTGAAAAATAGTGTGACTCAGATTCCCTCATGCCAGGCATGATATCCTGTCTATACTTACAACTCCCCACATCTTCAATGGTCTCCAACCCTGCCTATACATTGAAAAGAAAGAGAGACTTGCATAAAGGCATTTATCAAAAATACTGGAACCCTATTTTGATAGCTACTTCTAAAAACTCTTACCCTGGTGGTATCTAGTACCATATCAAATCTCAAAAGTGCTGACATACCCTTCAACTTGTTTCAGAGGATATTCATTACAAGGTACATATGCCCACATAGCATGGAAATGTCCTTTAGTCCCGGTTCTTTTGCAAATGAAATGATAAGAACAGCTTTGGTTAAGTACTTAACAAAAATTTAGTTTGAAGCCCCCTCCTCTGCAAACCACCTGTGGCCTGTAGTAGATGTTAATCTAAACTTGTAATCCACATTGTTGCAAAGGGTCTGGGAGAAAACCCTTAATGGGGGTCACCATGAACATACACATTTTTTACCACATATTTCAACTCTCAGCCTCTCAATGGAATGGCTCCTATCTATATCTAGTCCTCTTTCCTGGCTCTCTTTCCCACCCCCCAACTGAATAATTAAACATGCTTTCTAGCAGTAGGTAAGCCCTCTGCTTAGCAGCAAGTAAGTAATTCTCAAGCATATGAATCCAAGCAGTAAAAGGTATTGCAGGCTCACAGGGTGTGGAAGAAAAGGTGCAGGCTGCTATAAAAATAGCATATTTGTAACACGTCTTGTTGTGTCCTGTGGTCTAAGAGGCAGAGTAGTTGTAGAATACTTTATTAACAAGTTCAATCATCCCTAAAACATGTGCAGTCTTCTTAGTGTGTCATAACAGGAAATAGGGAAATAATTATAAAGTACTACACAGTTTTGCAACTGTAAATAGGGACATCTACAAGCAAAAGGTATGAACACTACATAAACTATGGCAGTAATCCCTACATTGGAGTCCCCAGCCAATGACAGAATGGTTGAGCCCTTCATTGCCCACCCATAACTGAAATGTAATATTATTTGCATGTTGAAATGATTTTCATTCAGACAGTTTGAGAGTTATTTGGATAAATTCTAATGTAATACATGTGAAAGAGTTAAATTTATGTAATTGAAATATTGCCTGTTATCTACACTGAGCTTTTGTTTAAATTTATCAGTTCGTTTTTATTAATACAACGATGGATATTCACTCTAGTGAATTGTGTTTCTCATTGCATACACTAATACCATCCTGTGCCATTCTAAAGTCTTTTAATGAGAATGAATATTCATCAGTGGTAATCAAACAAATAATAATAATAAGCAAGGTCTTTAGAGAGTATTACCAATATGCGCTGGATTTATGCCTCAGTTGACAACTGCACTGGTTCAAGAAACATTTTAAATTATGTTAAACGAAAAAGAACATAGACTACACCCATTCCTCTCTTAATTATACCATACTACGTGTATCAAATATATAATTTTTTTCTCTTTAAATGTGCATACTGAACCATGAAACTAATGTAGTTTACATAACTGGTTAAATGTTATGATGAAAAGCTCACACCCTGCAGTGTATATATTGTTTGCACACCCTTTTTAGAATGTTTAAAATGTTAATTGTTTTTGCTACATTAATGCATAAAACAGTCCATTGGCAAAATGTCATACAACACGTACAAAAGTCTAAAAGTCATTAAGAGTGATGAAATTCAGAACTTCAAAAAGTTAATAACTGAACTTCATGGTCATAACTATGACAGATAAGTTTGTAGAGAAGTCATTGAGGATATGAAGTAGAGTACAACATCCCTAAAGCGAAGGAGGTGGATCTCTGCCATTTGGGGATGTGTGAGCCACTTCAGACCAAGGAAATTAGTCAACAGCAAAATGAATGGAGTATATCATCATTACACTGAAGGAAAAAGTGCATCCATTAGTCCAGAAGCTGAGCATAGGGTACTCATGGATTTCCAACATGACCATTATCTAAAACATAATGGTAATTTTGCTCTTTAGTGGCTGCAAGAAAAAAAGTGAAGGTTCCAGAGTGTCCATTACAATCTCCTGACCTCAATATCATTGAGTCACGTTGGGGAGATGATTGGACATGCAGTTCATGACAAACATTTAAAGAACTTATGAGACCTAGAGGCTTTTTGCTCAGAAGAATGGTCAGCTTTACAACATGAAACAAATAGGACCTTATTCACAGTTATTGCAAAAGACCGCATTATTATTATACAGTATTTATAAAGCGCCAATAGTTCACTCAGTGCTGTACATTACAAAGGGGGACAGAACATGTGACAGAACAATACCAATACAATGCAAAACATGAGGGGATTGAGGGCCCTGCTCTTTCGAGCTTACAATCTATCATTGATGCTAAAGGAGGAAATACACAATATAAAGAAATAAAGGTTTGATAACTTTTGAACAGATCTATTTAATTATATAGCTTTGTAGCTAAGGTTTTTAATGATCCTGTGATACCTGGTTGTTTAATAAGAATTATATTAAAAATAAATACGATTTGTCTTGTTTGATTACTCATATTCTCTTAAAAAATGGTACACAAGTTGCATCTAAAAGGGGGAGAGAGAGAGAGAGAGAGAGAGAGAGAGAGAGAGAGAGAGAGAGAGAGACAGAGAGAGAGAGAGAGAGAGAGAGAGAGAGAGAGATTACAGCCACCTATAAATGTACGGCTTTGAATGGCAGAATTAGAACAAGTAAATATAATTTGATGTTTGGCCATAAGCTATAGTATGTTTGGTTGAGTTTGTTATTCTGGCAGAAATCATGGTTTATAAAATTTTTGTGATTCCAGTTTGTAGAAGAGTGTGCTTAAAGTGATGAGCAAACTATGCAAAGTTCAATTTGCTGCATGTTCAACAAGCATGTTCGAAAGTTCCCAAATACTGAACATAGCATTGAACTTCATTCAAGTCTATGAGCCCTGAATCCTATTATTTTTTCTCACCTTTTTCAAGGCTAATGTGTAAGCTTTTATTCAAAGAAAGGCATACATAGCTGGGCACTGCCACGTGGGAAAATCAATGCAAAAAATAAACAACTGCTCAGAGGGGAGTGGGATTTTTATTTCACTTACTAAGCAAAAATTAAAAATAAATACACAAATCTTTTAAATAACATGCTTTAGGGATGTATTAAACCTGCACATGTGGATGCAATACAATGTACTCCTTTAAAAGTGTCATTGTTTGTGTACAAATAGCAGGTGGGATCTGATAATTAGCAGTCTAGCACTACCACCTCTAAATAACAGATCCCCATTTGGACTTTGGGTGTAAAGAAGCTATTGAGGATCTTTGGTGACATCATTGGTTAACAACGGTCATGACCATGACCATACGTAATCATGTAAGGGGCCTGGATAGCTGGAGCTTTTGATATTTCCGTGCTGGCCCTTTAAAAGAAAAAAGAAACACAACATGGGATCTCCAAAAAGATTAATAAAAGTCCCTTATCCAGGCAACCTGGTAGTGAGCATGTGCCCCCCTAAAGCATACCAGGTCACATGCCTTCATGCAGCAAAGTCTCCCCACCTTGCAAGACACCTTGTATACATTTTGAGAGGACAGGGGTCTTCATCTTCCAAAAAGGTATATGGGTGCCTGTGTGGAGATGCTTATCAAAATCTGAAAGCCCTCTTTAGAACAAGGGGGGCAACAGATATCTGACCCTCTCCCCTACTGCTAAGTGAATGAGTACAGAGTACATAGTTCCCCCCACGACTTTCACTTTTACTTACTTTACAGTAAGTCCTTTACTGAAAAAAAAAGTGATGTCCCATGAAATGTGTCCAGTGTGTAGTCCAGTGAGGTAGATTCATGTGAGTCATAATAAGAAATGCCTGACAATGTTGATCTGTCACCACAGCGACCTACCATTATTGATACTCCACCACAAAATTACTTGTTTATATACAGAAGCTGGCAGGGATGATGGGTGATGTCATTGACCAAATATGTCATACAGGGGTGGACTGACAACTCATGGGGCCCCCGGGCAATAGGGGATCATGGGGCCCCTGTGTCCTTGCCCAAACTCAAAAAAGCCTATGAAAAAGGTACCAGGGGCATCTCATGGGACCCCTTACTGGCCCCGGGCCCTCGGACAGTGCCCGAGTTTCCAAATGGTCAGTCCGCCCCTGATGTCATAACATGGTGGGAGTGCGACCTGCTACAACCCTTCTGGTGTCTAGTCTTTGAGGTATACAATCGGATCTATGGTGAGTCCTTGGCCTTATCACCAGAGATTGCTCTCCTCTCTATATTACCGGGTTCGCTGGCAGCGCAGAAGAAATGTTTATTGCGTTTCTTTTTATCTGCGGCTCGCCAAATTATATCCATCTTCTGGAATACAACCACCCCCCCCCACGTCTTCCTATGTGGGTTTCTGCACTTAATGATATCATGCATATGGAAGAGATGCTGGCATTTGCCAAGGATACTTATGATAAAAACACAAATTACTTTGGTTGGTCTGGCTCCATTTCTCTTCCTCTCCGAACCTTTGAGGGTTGTTGGCTCCATAGTGTTCCAATAGTGTTGGCCTGGGTTTATCCGGCCATGGTCCTATGATTGTCAGGTTGGCCCTATTGCCCACATCTGTCTACAGCCCATTGGGTCACACGACTAGGCCCAGGCGCTGCGTTGCTGTGATCCTGCCCCTTGCCTTCTCCGCCTCCTGACCCCTCTCATTTCTAGTCTTTTTTGTCTCTAATACTAGGTTACACCCCCCCTTTTTTTTTCTTTTTTTCTCTTTTCTTTTCCAAACTTCTATACCACTCCTTTTAGTTTTGTTCTTTATATTGTATTGTACAGAGGTACCTTACAATGTTTTCTATATCTCATCCAGGGATAGCTCCCTGAGAATTATGTTCCAGATATTTCTGTACCAATTGCTATTGATCCGTTAATTTATCCAATGAGTATAATTATACGCAACTATTCCCCTGGGTCATTTCCTTGCTCGAGATTTATTTGTGTTTGTTTATTTGTATGTATCACTTATATTTCTCTGTTGCGTTCTGTAAAATTACCACAAAAACTGTAATAAAGACAAATTTGCCTTTAAATGAGATAAATGTCTTCTGCTGACATGAGGTTGCTGTTCATTGATCAAAAAAGTATTTTGTATGTATGTTCAGACTTTATTACACTGTTTGTAGAGCAATGTACTAAATGTTATTACTAGATTCTAGACAGAATGTGATTGAAAAAAAAAACCTGATACCTTTTGGGCATATAATAAGTGGCAGTTTAATTTCTTCGAATGTCTGAAACATGCAGTTGAAATTAAATGGAATGAAGACATAACTACAGTAACAACAAAACAAAAATGTAATGATTTTTTCTTTTTTTTCATCTTTTGCCTTACACGTCGATCTATCAGAAGTAATTCTATAAAATAAATAAATAGATGAGGGAACTTCTAAGATGTTTTAAAAGCTTTTATATGTATTTCTCATCAGTATTGTGAACATTCCTACCATTAATTATTGCAGTTTAATCCATGTTTTCTGGATTTTAAAGTGAGGTTGGCAATAGTATCCAGCAAAGATAGAAATGTGATCACTTCTGTACAGAGCTCCCAGCTAATTAATACAATTGCTCACCAGTGCACCAGCCCTGCCAATTCTTGATTGGGAGTACTAATTTTAGCATCACTATCTCAGTTGCAGGCATCAAATCACTGCATGAATACTTCTACAGTAGTAGGGAGGAAGGGAGAAAGCTAGTGTATGAGCTAGGAGCTAAAAAAAGGGAAGGTTATGTTCTTGCCTTATTCTATTTTCAGGTACATTCAGATATACAGTATGTCTTAAAGTGGTAGTAAAGTTTAAAAAAAAAGAAAATTCTCCTTGCAAGGTAAAGGCATAAAATGCTAGTATGCATCGAATACCAGCATAATATGAAAGACTTTGAACCAAAGTCCTCCAGTGGCATGCTGTCACCTCTGCAGAGGCTTCCATCTTCACCTGGGTTCCCAGGCTGTAGCTACTTAAATGGCCAAGCTGCAATAACATCCCTCCCATGCATGCGTGTGGGAATCATGGTCACCGCACAAAGCTCTGAAGGAATGGCACAGGTATACTGTTCCTGCAGAGCACCTGTACCAATAATGTCACCCGGCTGCTGCTCACTAGATTATCTCCTAAATGGTACATGTTTAGGAGATATCAATTTTACCTACAGGTAAGATTTATTATAAGCTTACTTGTAGGTAAAAATCAAAAAACAAAATTGAGTTTAATCACCACTTTATAGCCTAAATGAGACCTGCAGTCTGCTCTCTTGACTGCTCTGGTATTTCCACATTGGCAAGACCACATCTTTTTTTATGAGTGTGTTTTTGTGAACTGCCTGTGAACTATATGTTTAAAGGGTGCAATAACAGTGGACATCTGACCATTCTGCACTACATATTGATGCATCTATAGTATTCAGCACTTCCTACACAGAAAGGGTTTGGCTGTCCATTTGAATGTTAGGTATTTTGGCATTTTTTTCACTTGTATTCAAAAGAGCCAAGCTCTTCCAGGATTCTGAAGCATGCATCTTTAGGCCACTTTAGGACCAGCTAACACACATTTATGTAGCCATCTTAAAGTGGCTATACCAGGATGATGCCCACAGCTATAGGCATCATCCCAGTATTGTTTTTTTTTCTGAAGCCAATTCTGTTTTGTGTAAAAGCAATCCTAGTGGCTAATCAGCTGCTGGATTGCTTTTGTATATGGTGGAAGGGGATCCCCCTTGATCAGTGTAGCTCATCAGTGCAGCCAATAGTGCCCATCTGTGCTGGCTTTCAGTGCCCATCAGTGATGCCTGTCAGTGCCACCTATCAGTGCCGCATACCAGTGCTCATCAGTACTACATATCAGTGCAGCTTCATCAGTCCTTCCTCATCAATGCCCATCAGTGCAGTCTCATCAGTGCACATCAGTGAAGGACAAAAATCACTTATTTGTAAAACTTTTATGATAGAAACTAAGAAATTTTTTTTTGTTGTTTTCAAAAATTTTCATCTTTTTTTGTTTGTTTAGCAAACAATAAAAACCCCAGTGGTGATTAAATGCCACCAAAAGAAAGCTCTATTTGTCTCAAAAAATGATTAAAATTTAGTTTAGGTACAGTGTTGCATGACCACGCAATTGTGCGACAGCGCTGAAAGTTGAAAATTGGCCTGGGCAGGAAGAGGGTAAAAGTGCCTGGTAGGCAAGTGGATAAAGCATTGCATGTTAGTTATCTATTTACATGAAATAACATAGTCTTTTATATTTTACTATACAATTGGGTATTATATTGTGTTTTTGTGCAATCAAATAATTAAACTGTATGTATAAAAAAAAAAAAAAAGCGAATATTGTGTGAGATAAAGAAATGCAAAACTCACCATTTTATTCTCTAGGACCTCTGCTTAAGAAATATGCAATGTTTGGGGTTTCTAAGTGATTTTCTAGCAAACAAAATGTGTCAGAATAGGCTGGGTCTTCAAGTGGTTAAAGCATAAACATTTACCCAGATTTCTGGTGAATGCAAAAGCAGGACAATAACATGCCTGTATATTGCTTAATTGACTGGTTAGAAAACAGACTTCCTATTCCCCTCTTGCATGCACCAAATCCACACATTATAATGCAGAGTTCACAATGACCAGCAATCCCAACTGCTCTGAGTGATGGCCAACACATACATTTCAGATGTATATACATACAGAAAGGTGCTAGTAATACATTCAAATAATTCATATTAGAAAAGAAGATATTACATAAATGAATAAATCTATTTATTATATTATTATTATTTATATTCTATTACTTGATCTATATGATAAAAACAGTTGTGAGTTATAAAATGCAATGTATATATTGCCAAAACACGTTTAGGAAGTGTTAAATCACTGTCAGTGTATTTTTCGCTGTCTGTGTCCCATTGTGGAATTTTTTTTCCACTTTCCATCTCTGCAATTCAAGTGGAATTGACCTCTTAAGCCGGATTGAAATTTGTCAGGTTCAGCAGGGACCAGCCAAATTTTGATCAATGTATGGGCACCCTAGTTGTACACAAGTCAATCTATCGATCAACTTGTGTACAACCAGCCTGTCAAGTTCTTCCTGAATGATTAGTGTCACTGGCTACAACCTGCAACACTAATCATTGTATTCTACTGCAGGGAAGACTCCCCATGCTCCCTGCTGGCAAAACAAAACAGCACTGTGGGAGGGACTGTGTTGGAAAATCAAGCAATTTTCTTTCTTTCCCCCATGGTGGAAGGAAATAAAACTGCATTATCTATGGCTTGTCTTAGACAAATCGTTCCCATTTAAAGATTCACATCCACCTCCTGTTCTGGTGACAGCTGTAAAATATTGGATTTCCTATCAATTTCTGCCTTTGTGAGAATGATTACAAGGACAAATAGAGATGGTGAACATACTTAGTGATAACACATAAAACATTAAAAAGGAAGAAGAAAAAAAAAAAAAAAAAAAAAAAGATATGGGGTTTACATATACTTTATTAAAAAATTATATGACATAAAATTGCATTGGATATGCTATTTAAATCTAGATAGTGTCCAAAACATAACAGAAATAGGGAAGATTTTTATAGACATGTGATTCAGGCCTTATTTGAATCAGTTCACTCATATTATAGTTGTCAAAAGTTATTTCATTCCATATGACTAGCCCAATAACCTGAACAACTCTGGTATGGGAGCAGGATTGAAACAAGGAAAAGCGCAAAGCTCAGGGCTATTTCAAAGTTGTTAAGGATACAAAGGTTAAAAGTCCAGATGTACAGATGCAGGGGAATACTAAGAACAAAAAGCATGTACCAAAGGCCCTTATTACATGAAATCTCTGGGTATCTCCTATTTTATACACTCTTTTCCCCTATAAAAAATTTAAGAGTGGCAGAAAAATATCAAAACAAGCCTACAACTCAATCAATAATTCCTTAATATTAAAATACAATGCTAAATTTCCAAATGGGACAAGTTGTTAACTCATACATAGTATATAAAATATCTTTTACACCATTTTATAAATTGCTTATCATGCACCTGGCTTTTACATAACCATTTTGCTTATAACCACATGTAAATGGGTCACGAAATGCTGTAGCACTTGTAGAGCAATT